ATGAAATTTACGTGCACGCATGGAAGTATAAGCTTAAAGAACACAAGAATGATGTCTAAGGAAGCATGGGGATCTCAATGGCTAGAGGATCTGCCACTTTATGCCATGTAGCACCCTATGGACCATGGATCTGGAGTCTTAACCCCCAACCATGCTTGCACTCATGGTAGGTCACCAAAAATGGAACCTAAGAGCCCTATTTCACTCTAAAAAGGGATCTAGAATATGAATGAACAAGGTATAAGCTTTATACCTCTAACAAGCTAGAAATATGCTTAAAACTCTGGATCTTCTTGTTCCCCTTTGGTCTTACAAGCCTCCTTCTTCTTCTTGAAGCTTGAAATGCATAAAATAACACCACAAAGCTCAAGAACATGCTAAAAACGGCTAGGGTTTCGATATGAGGTCTTCTGGGAGCATAAGGGACGATGGAGGCTGCAATAGGACGTTTAAATAGGGTGCAAACCCTCAGATTTAGGGTTTCATACACACAGCACCTACTCGTCGAGTCAGTCTACCGACTTATCGAGTAGGTCACTTAAAACGTACACGAGTCCCGAATCTACTCGACGAGTTGGGCCTTCAACTCGTCGAGTCCCATAGAAAAACATAAAAATATTTTAATTAAATGCGCACCAGGAATCGGATGCTACAAATCTCCCCCACTTCTTCTAGACTTCGTCCTTGAAGTCTGCCGCCCGATCTTGGAAATGTTCTGGGTAATGCTCCATCATCTCGTCTACCGGCTTCCAGGTCCATTCTGAGCCCTTCCGGTGCTACCATTGCACCTTTACCAGCTTGACTCTCTTGTTCTTCAGATCCTTTGACTTCCGGTAAAGGATCACCACAAGCCGCTCAATGTAGTACATGATGTCATCAACCTGAACATCCTCTAAAGGTACCATTGATGAGTCATCTGCCAAGCACTTCCTTAACTGGGAGACGTGAAAAGCATTATGAATCTGATTGAGTTCGGCTGGCAGATCCAGTCTATACGCCACCTTTCCTACCCGAGCTATAACCCTGAAAGGCCCAATATACCTGGGGCCCAACTTGCCTCGCTTCCTGAATCGAATTACACGCTTCCAAGGTGACACTTTCAGTAGCACCATGTCCCCGACCTGAAACTCCATGTCCGAACGACGCTTGTCGACATAACTCTTCTGCCGACTCTAAGCAGTCTAAAGCCTTCTCCGCACCTGTTGCATCCTCTCGGTAGTCTTGAGTACCACCTCGGTACTCCCCATGACCCTCTAACCCACCTCACCCTAGCATATCGGGGTCCTGCACCTCCTCCCATACAACATCTCGAAAGGAGGATAGTTGATACTCGCATGCTAGTTGTTATTAGAAAAGAACTCCGCTAACGGAAGGTACAAATCCCAACTACCTCCGAAATCTAAAACACACACCCGCAGCATATCTTCCAGAGTCTGGATGATCCACTAACTCTGACCATCCATCTTCGGGTGAAAGGAAGTGCTAAAATGTAGACGAGTACCTAGCTCATCATGAAACTTCTTCCAAAACCTGGAAGTGAACCGCGCATCCCTGTCGGAAATCACTAAAACTGGCACCCGTGCCGAGCCACTACCTCCCTGATATAGATATCGGCCAACTTCTCGGCCAAAATACTCTCCTGAATTGGAATGAAATGGGCACTCTTGGTCAATCGATCAACGATGACCCAAATCGAAACTACCCTCCACGTGGTCCTGGGAAGCTTTGTGATGAAATCCATGGTGATATCTTCCCATTTCCACAGCGGGATATCCAACAGTTGGACCTTGCCATGAGGTCTCTGATGCTCAGCCTTGACCTTCCTGCAGGTCAAGCACCCCTCCACAAACCAAGCCACATCCCTCTTCATGCAAGGCCACCAATAATCGAGACGAAGATCCCTGTACATCTTCGTTGCCTCGGGATGGATGGAGAATCGGGATATGTGCGCCTTTACCATCAATACCTGGTGCACACCCCCATGATACGGGACCCACACCCTACGGTGAAGAGTCAACAATCCCCGACTATCATAGTCGAAGGAGGAAACCTGACCCATAATTCTCTCACTCTTCCAATATTCCTCCTTCATGGCCTCCTGCTGGACCTCCTGAATCTGCTCCAACAATGGAGTCACAACTGTCATCCTCAGATACATGTCCCAGATCAGCACTGCCTTGTGGCTAAGAGCATCAACCACTATATTGACCCTCCCGGGTGGTATAGGATCTCGCAATCATAATCCTTTACCACATCAATCCACCGACGTTGCCTTATATTTATATTTTGCTTGTCCATGAGATATCTCAATCTCTTGTGGTCCGTGTAAATGGTACGATGAACCCCATAGAGGTAATGGCGCCAAATCATGAGGGCGAAAACAACAGCCCCCGTTTCAAATCATGCGTCGGGTAATTCGCCTCGTGAGGCTTCAGCTGCCTCGAAGCGTAAGCTATAACATGCCCTCTCTGAATCATTACCGCGCCCAAACCTGAGATGGGTGCATCGTAGTATACCACAAACTCCTCCATTCCCTCTCGCAGGGCTAAGATGGGCGCCTCGCACAATTTCTGCCACAACGTCTCAAATGCGGCCTGCTGCTCAGGCCCTCAGCAAAAGACCACGACTTTCCTCGTCAACCGGGTCAGGGATACAGCTATCTTGGAGATGTCCTGAATGAACCTCCGATAGTATCCTGCCAGTCCCAGGAAACTCCGAATCTCAGATGGAGACCTGGGAACCTCCCACCTCATCATGGCCTCCACCTTGGCCGGATCAACCGAAATTCCATCCTGGTTGACAAGGTGCCTAAGAAACTACACCTCGCGCAGCCAGAACTCGCACTTGGAGAACTTAGCATACTAGCACTCCTTCCTCAAAGTATCCATAACCTCCCGCAAGTGCTCCTCATATAACTCTATAGTCTTGGAATAAACCAAGACGTCATCGATGAAAACTATCATAGACCGATCCAACATTGGTCAGCACACGCGATTCATGAGATCCATGAACGCGACAGGAGCATTGGTGAGCCCGAAAGGAATCACCACGACCTCATAGTGGCCATAGCACGTCCGGAACGCAGTCTTCTACACATCCTCCTCTCCGACCCTCATCTGATGATACCCCAAACGCAGATCAATCTTATAGAACCAAGATGTTCCATGTAGCTGGTCAAAGAGGTCATCAATCCTTGGGAGTGGGTAACGGTTCTTCACCGTTACCTTATTCAACTCCCGATATCCTATACACATCTGATGCGACCCTTTCTTCTTCTTCACAAATAGAATCGGGGTTCCCCAGGGTGAACTGCTCGGTCTGATGAATCCCTTGTCTAACAGCTCCTGCAGCTGCGTAGATAACTCTTGAATCTTACGAGGATCCAACCGATACGGTGCCTTGACTATCGGAGTCGCACCAGGGATGAGGTCGATCCTAAACTCCCCCTGCCTCTCCGGAGGTATCCCATGCAACTCCTCGTAAAATACATCTGCAAACTCACGTACTACAGGAACATCCACTACTAGAAAAACAGCCTTTTACGACGCTCATTGCGCGTCGTAAAACGCTCAGATGACGCGCAAATGCGTGTCAAGGAAGGCCCTGTCATAACGAGAGAAGACGCGCTTTTGCGCGTCCTCTAGAGACGACGCGCATTTACGACACGCATTTATGACACGCAATGCGTATCAACAAAAGTCGCTGTCAAGAAAGGCCATGTCATAAATGAAGATGACAAACTTGTTTGCGTATCGTAATTTTTATTTTTATTTTAAAAAAAAAATTATTTATAGATTTACTAATTTTCAAATTAAATTTGCATTTCATGTATCATAATAGAAAATAAAATACCATTTACAAAAAATACAATCCATTGCACAAAAGTTAATGTCATACAAAATACAAAATAAAATACAATAAATAAGAAAGATAAATCATTGCACTAACATGTCAAATATAAATAATCATCCCTAACTATATAAGCTAATACTACATTGCTATTAAGGGACATCATCATAACTCACTAAAGGTCTTGGAACAATGTTCTCGTCATCAACTCTTACGCCAACCTTGCTTTAGTAGATGGTCTTGTAGCTACATTGTAATTTAGCCATTTCCAACTGCAATGTTTTATAAATTATTATTATTTTAGATTTATTTATCTAAAACCAAAAATAAATATATTGAAAATGACACATACCAGTCCAGTAGACATTGCTAATTCACCCAACTACTTCCATTTCGACTCACTTTGTGCTACTAGTACGATATCCTATATACACAAACAAATGTTATTATTAATTATAATTCATAAAGTCAAGTATTGGAATATCTTTTGATTACCTTCATAATCTCTAGTTTACCAAGCTGAATATCTAGTTCAAATCTATAATCAGGACCTGTAGCAACTGCTAAAGCTTCATCAATCATTCCACGTGACTCCAATAAATGAGCAACACTATCGAGAAAAGAAATATTCATATATTAAATTGCTTTGGTTTATCTCAATCAAAGTACAATGATACAAAGTAAGTTGCCTTTATCATTTTATTATTGATCTTTGATATTTTGACAAGATTGAGAGAAAAAGAGACTTGCACTACATTAAGGGGGACATCCCCTAAAGAAACAGTTGCCACAACATTAATCACAAGGGCAACCACATTTACAGTGAGTTGGAACTGAATAAATTTTTGTATGTTTGCATGCCGAAGAAACACATTAATCTCAAAAAATAATAATAATAATAATAATAATAATAATAATAATAATAATAATAATACTTTTGAAGCGTTTTCTATACCAACATAAAGACCAGAAACAGAAGATATCAGACCTTTACAATGGAAGCGAAATTGTCTTCCAAGATTACGATATCACTACTTTCTTTTGCAACTTCAGTTCCTTGGATGCCCATAGCAAGACCAATATCATCCTACAATTTCAATTTCAAAAAATAAAAATCATAAAAATACAGCAAAAATAATTAAATTAATCATGAAAGAGCTTTAATTATTACCTCATGTAGAGCAGGGGCATCGCTTGTTCCATCTCTAGTGTAGCTAAGTGAAAAACAGCAAGAATTCATCTAATCTGCTACTATGCTATTCAGACTCGTATATTCAAGAAAAAGAAATCAAAAGATTTGAATTTTTAAAAATATAAAGATAGGGTTTTTGATTGATTGTGCAAGATTTAGGAGGACAGGAAAAAAAAGATACAAAAATAGATTATACTGTGTTCAGAGAGATGTGTGGTGTGAAAGATATATAAACAGTACTCTCCATAAGTGCTATGATCAGAACTCATACAAGTTTACACACAATTCTCCATAAGTGTTACGATCATTTTTCATCGAAAAAATGGCCACCAATAAGATTATGTAAATTTGCCTACAAGGAAGAAGTACAACAGCTCGTACAACTAAGGCACCAGTGGCTCCAAGGGCAGAAGGGTCATATGCAATAATAGCATAATTATGAACAGGGTGAAGACACACGGCTGAAAAATTAGATAATAACCTTAATTAAGAGATTAAGAATTAAGAATTAAGATTAATATTTAAAAGTTAAAAGTTAATTTCTCTGTTTCATAATCATACCTCTCATGGGATTTTCAACTTTTCTTGTGATTCTTGAAATTTCTGCAGTTCAAGCTCAAGTCTAAAGTTGTCTTTTGTCGTGATTCTTGACACTTCTACCCCTGTATGCTCTTCTACATTGTCTTCATCAACTACTGATTGTTCTGATGCCTCGAGAATATTTATCTCCAATTTCTGTTTTTCTATTTGTTCGTCCAGTTCCTGGAGGATAGAAACCAGCTTAAGATTTGATTCTTGAGTTTTACTCAATTGTATACTCAAATTATTATTCAAATCTTATGGAAATTTTATTTCTTCTTCAAGTTCTGCTTGGATACCATTTTTATCTTGAACCTGAGCTTTTAGATTAGATCCATAGATCAGGTTTTTTTATTCTAGATAGATAAAGCGTGATAACTGCCATGCCGCTTCTTCACCAGGACGATCTTTTCTAAGACCATGCCTCTTCTGAAGAGAAACAGATTGACTAGTCAAACATGGTCAAACATGAAAGTAGAGGATGCTATGATTATAATCAACAAATATAATCACACCTTGTTATCAAATTTTAGTGGGAAGCCACTGTTTGAGTTGTTCATACTATCTGGTGCTGACTCCAGAAATCTCATATTGTAAATTGCCTTCATATCTTCAGGAAGCAAATCTGCTAACTGAATATTAAAAAATGATGTTATTGGGTATATTTTACAAACTACAATGCCTTGATAACAAAAATACAATGTTGTAATAGCAAGAAAAAAAAAGATCCTCACCTCCAATATCTTTGCAAGTTTATCAGTCTCAAATTTCTCGGGATGAGTTGCTACATATATCATTAATAATCGGATCTTTTGTTCATCTGTTGCATCCTGCATGAAGCAACAGCATACAACATTACAATTATGGACATGAAATCTGGAATGCATATAATAAATTATTAATTCCTGCTGTTTGCTCACTTGTTCTTTGAGAAACTTAATGATATCTTTTGTTCCTGCATCTCCAAAGACAAGGTCTTGCTCTAATTGCCCCACTTCTCTAAGCCCCATCTCCCTGATAATACCATTAATCTTTCCAGCAAGCTGTTTCAGTCAAACTAGTATCAGACATAGTTGACCATTATATCAACATAACCCTGGATTTATTTATTTATTTATTTAAAAAAAACAAACAAGCAAATACCCTAGTGACTTACATCAACATGGAGGGATAGTTTGTCCATTTGTTCATTGGCAATGCTTGAACCATCTTTTGCAAGTCACGAGTAGACATCTCCCCACCATCTCTACAAAAACAATTATGAATGTTTGTTGAATTACAAGGGTAAAATGGTCATTTAGTCTCATTCAGACACTTTATTCATTCTAGAAAGAAAAAAAAAACAGACCTTATGTATACAACAACAATTTACATGGTCATTTAGTCTCATAAGAGTAAAATGGTCATTTGGTCTCATGCATACTAGAAAAAACAAACAAACAGACCTGCCATGCATCTGAGCAGCTTTATTTCTGGACACAAAATTTGTCATCTTGTCATGCAAGCGTTCACTAGCCCGACAATGAACCATTGATCAAAAGCTATATAATTATATATTTTATTAAAAACCAAAACCAAATAAATAAAAAAATCTAAAAAAGACATACATCTGCTATATGGGAATGTCGGAGCTCCAGCCATACTAGATCATGATCCTCTAAAAGGACCTCTTTCCTTTCATAACCATCACCTGTTTTGCTTGGAACCTAAGCAATATAATTACTTGGCGTATAATACAAAAATAATATAAAAAATTTCACTAACAAGATTTTATAATAATAAACAATGTACACTACACTAACCACGTGAACATATTTATTTCCCTCCATTTCAAGTAAATCATGGCACATTGCATCATATCTCCATTCATGAATAACAGGAGCAATCTACAAGTAAAAAAAAAAACAGAGTTAGTTCCTAACTCTACTAAAAAAATAAATTAAAGATGACAGGTTGCATCCTATTATTATGATTTGATAAAGGCCTGGAAATGGAAAAGGAGACATGAGAAGATGATCCTGGTCGTGAAGATGACTCTGAAACCACATTCTTCCCCACTCCCAGAAGCTCACTGGGTCCCACCTTCCTTTGCTCAGAACCAGCTGTCATATTTAACCATTCATAAATACAATTAATTTACATTAAATAAAAAATAATTTCAAATACAAAACAAGATGATAACAAAATGGTGATTAAATAAATTTAAAAAAAAAATTCTCACAAGAAGTCGATTTGATCACAAGAGGGGTCTCTTGAATTTGTTCAACTGCAGCTACTTTACTCCCAGCCTCACGTCTAATAGTACCCACAGACAGCCGTGAATCTTGTGATGGCATCAAAATAGGATCTTTTTCAGACAAATATACCCCTAGTGATTCCTACATGATTATACAGGCACAAACAGAAAAACCTACAAGCTTCCACGTTAACCTACAAGCTTCCACGTTTTTAAGCATATTGAAACCATAATTACACAACTGCGTACCTTGAGAAACCGACCCCTCCTGTTTTCCCCAATGTCAAAGTAAAACACTTGAAGAAAGAACCCTAATCAGAAAGGTAATTGGACAGATATGAAGGTTATTTGAAAGAAAAATCTATGATAATTGTTGAAGAAACTAGTAAAGTCAATCCACATTTTGCAGAGTAATAAATATGAAAGTGTATGTATAGTATGTGTAATGTGTAATATAATAAATTGCCTGGCTATCAAGATGAAGTTCCTTTCTAGAAATATCTTGGTCATCAGAAGTGACGTAGTAGTTGAAGATATCAAAGAACCAAGAGATGCCATTGAAAGTTACGATTATGGTGGACCTTGTCGCCGACGTCTTCTCCGAAATCTTCAGATAACGACAGCGTGGTTCTCCTTGATATCAATGTAAAACAACTTATGCTCCACCGCTTCGTGCACCTCCGCCGCCGCCCGAGTTAAACTCCATCTCCCCTTACGTATTCTCCTGCACCTCCACCTGTAACATCTTAGACAACAACTCCTCGTTGCCCCTTACGTGTTTTGAACCAGGCGAGAGGGATGAGATGGAAATACGAGAGTGAGATAGAAAAAATTAGGGTCGGATTTAGGAACCCTAAATCATCGGCTCAAATTGATAACTGGGAGGTAAGAACCCTAAATCCTCAGCTCAGGATCGAATTAAGAGTGTAAGAACTTGTTGGAACCGAGAATTAGGTTTTTGGTGGAGGTGATGGATCGAGGAATTGAGGAAGCTGTGGATGAAGACGAAGGCCCTAATTCGAAGAGGCGTGGAATTTTTCGGATGAATAGGCGGGGTGTTAATTTTTTGGATTTTATTTTCCCCCCTAAAACGCGTGTTTCCTTAAAAAAAATATATATATAAAGCGACACAGTGACACGACGCACATTTTTTGGTAGGTGCCCTCCGTATTTTTTTTTTCTGACACTAATTTTATGGTACGCAACAATGCGTGTTATCTATCCTTCAAATTTTCGAAAACTAACATTAATTTTTAGGGCACACACAAATGCATGCCCTCTATCAGTGTGCGTCATTAATTGCACATCGTAAAAGGCTATTGTTCTAGTAGTGATCGTCCATCGTCGCCTTACCTGCTTCCCGGGTATCCATAACATAGGCGACAAATCCTGTGCAACCCTGTTGAAAGTAGCGCCTAGCTCTCGCTGCTGAACATAGAGTTGGTCGTTGATGTGGCCTCTTGCTCTGAACCACCAGCTCTCCCCCATTTGGGGTCCTGATCCACACCAACTACTGCGCACAGTCAATCACTGCCCCATTGGGGCTAAGCGAATCCATACCAATAATAACCTTGTTCCCCCGCAACAGTATGGGAACCATATCTACCTAGTAATGCTCCTTGAACATCCTTAAAAGACAATCTCGATAGACCTATGATGCTCGCATTGACTGGTCGTCCGCAATCTCGACCTCCAAAGGGCAATCCATCACGCCTAAAGACTTAAGAAACTTCTTGCTAAGCGCAAGAGAGACAAACGATCGGGTAGCACCCGAATCGAACAATACCTGAACTGGGATACCATTCACATGGAACGATCCTAAACAAAGCACATGCATAACATACCAAAATCACAGCAACATAACAGAAAAGCATAGGGAAAGAAATCGTACCCGTCACCACATCGGGTGCAGTGCGCTCCTCCTTGGCTATCAACTGAAATGCCCGGCTCCGCACCACTAGAGCCTCTACCTTGGCCTTCCGGCCATCCGTCACTCGTGTTAATGCTGGGGTCGGCGACGCCGCTGTCGCTGTTGTCAATCTAGGGCAGTTAGCCTTTTTATGGCCCCTCTGATTGCAATGAATGCAAATCAGGTCTGATATCTGAACTGTGGAAGCATGGCCAGTACAATCCTTGCCAAAATGTCCAATCTGGCCGCACTTATAGCAGTCGGAACCCGACCCAGTGTGGCAAACTCCCTCGTGTGACCAACCACACTTTCCACAACGGTCCCTCCCCTCTTGTCCCATCGACCTCGCATCGAATCCCTTGGGTTTCTTCCCCAAAACCCCTGCAACCTGCGCAGTCTCTGACTTCCTCTACTTGAGGTGCTCTAAATCAATCACCCTCTCCCACACCCTAGCAATCATGGACTCTAGGGTCGGGCAGGCTGAATAGCTAACATGCTCCTGAATGTCGACTCTCAACATATCATGATAGCGGGTCTTTCGCATCTCCTCATCCCCCCCCCCCATACTGGGGTACCAACAAAGCCCTCTCCCAGAACTTAGCGGTGATTTCCGTCACAGTCTCCGTAGTTTGTCTCATATCCAAAAACTCTCTGGTTAGCTGTTGAAGCTCCGCAGCCAGCGTAAACTCAGCCCTAAATCGGGTCACAAAATCTAACCAAGTCATAGCCTCGACGGCTGGGGCTCCCAACGAATCACCAACTAACTCCTACCAATCCCTGGCTTAACCCCTCAAACATCCTCAAGCAAAAAGGACTGCCGACCCTTCTGAGCAGAAGCTCGTCAACTGCGTAGACTCCATGTATGCGATCCATCTCCTGGCAGCAATGGGGTCCTTCACCCCATGAAAATCCGGTGCATCACTCCCTCAGAAGTCCTTGAAGGACAGTGTGCGTGTACTCGTCTAGCTAGATGCCAGATCACTCTGGAGTGCCTGAAGGTGATCCTCCATCAGCTCAACAATCCCCTCCTTGATTGACCCGAAAATGACCGGGGTTACATCAAGGATACCTCTCGTGATCTCAGACGTGATGAACTCGCGTAGCCCGTCATCAACCTCCCCGGATCCTGCACCCGAGCCTGATCCTGATCCTGGTCCTGAACCCTGATCCTCGTGCTCCACGTCGCGTGATCGCCATACTAAAAATAAACACATAAACATCAGGATCATACATACCCCCCAGAGGTCTCACGCACTCTCCAAGTTTCCTGGTTCCATCTTGGCGCTCCTTAACTCGAGTATGGATCCTCTTCTTTCAGTAGTACGAGCCCATACTACCTTCCGCATCTATCCGTACTTTCCTCAAGGATTGCTTCAACTTCACCAAGTCCCTTTACCGATACCATTTCCTATTAATCTCTTCCTAGGCTTTCCTAGGGAACTCTCCAACCTACTCTCTGCCATCAGCTGCACTAGGAGTCCCTAATTCCCATCCCTAACTAGCTTGTGAATATTGTTACATATCTGCTCACTAGTTAGTTAAAGTTAGCCAGGACCTCTTAAGCACAAAGCAAACGAAATTCGTGCATCTAATAACCACATCAAGCATATCCTAATCAGGTTATCCTACTGCTGACTAAACAGTCCTAGCATACAGCTCATGCAACAGGCATTCAGGGCATCCTTTAGATCCTTAGCCCTACTCTAGCATGCAGTTCTCAGAATCATATATCAAATATACAAGGCATCCTTCTAGATCCCTAGCCCTAATCTAGCATGTAGTTCTCAGAAGCAAGAATCATACACATAACACAACAAGTATGGGTATCTTGGGGAAAACTTACTTGAGCTCGGTCGGTCGCACGCATCACACACCTTCTCCTTTTCAAATTTCTTTTATCCTTCCAATTTCATTTCAAACCCTTTTTATAAAATTGATTTTCTTTTGAAAATTTCCATACCAAGTCCTCAGTTTGAGTCCGTACGCACCCGAAAGTGTGCCCGAATCCCTCAAACCAAGGCTCTGATACCAACTTGTAACACCCCAAAATTCGAGACCAAAAATTTCATTTTTAATTAAGTGGTTCATAAAATAACTTAGCAAGGTGTTACCAAAATCATGTCAAAAATACAAAACCGTAGTATCAAGTCTCAAAACCATGTCATCTAAATAATGAAAACATCAGAGTAGAATCCCAGAAAACTCCTAATGGGAATCATGTGTGTGTGTGATACGCTGCTACACCACCGGCTCCTTCCCCTTGGACGAAGAGGTACCTGAAACCAAAACTGAAACCATACGCACAAAGCTTAGTGAGTTCCCCCATCATACCACATACCATATAATATCGTCGGTATCTTTCAATCGGTAATTATCATCAGTATCTTAAAACCGGTAATCACCATCAGTATCTTTCAATCGGTAACCTCCATCGGTATCTCTCAACCGGTATCTGCCATCGATATCTTTCAAGCGATACCTGCCATCGGTATCTTTCAACCGGTAATTGGGGACTATTTCACCCCTACCGATAGCATACAATAGCAAGGTATAAACATATAGTCAGGCATAACGGGTACTGACCTACCCCTTGGTCCTAACGACCCATCCCAGGGAAAACTATTCCCTGTCACTACTACTGACACAATCATCATATCAAGCAGACATATCTCATGACCGAATCACATAACCAAGCAAGATAATTATCACAAGGACAATTATCGACTAAATACCCCTGTTGGTGGGCCGACATTATGGCCTTAAACCCACCCCTACTAGAAGGTAACTCATCTCGATGCCGTGTAATGCCTGACCCGTCCTCTACGCAAAGATCGACTCTCCTCAACTCCTCAACCCCCTACGCAACAATCCTTCTTTCATTAAATAGAACATACGACCCGTCCTCTACGCAAAGATCGACTCTCCTCAACTCCTCAACCCCCTACGTAACAATCCTTCTTTCATTAAATAGAACATACGACCCTAACCAGCATCATTACCATAACCAGTCAAAGTCAACACCTAGTTGACTTGACTCGCCGAGTTGGTCTACTAACTCGTCGAGTCCATGCTCCACTAACCAGATCCAACCCCAACACCACTCATCGAGTCTAGCAAGAACTCATCGAGTTCTTCTTCATTCAAACCATCGGGAACATATTCATCCAACTCGATGAGTTGTATGAACAACTCGTCGAGTTCATCTTCAACGGTTGGAAGATTGCCTTGGACTCGCCGAGTCCCAAGAACAACTCGTCGAGTCCCATGATCCTATTGACCACGGCTAAGTCCAATACGTTTGGTCACTCCCCTGGACTCTTCTAAAACATTCCTAACCTTCCCCTGGGTTCCCTTGAAACTCAACAGATTGGGGACTCAAGCCTCGAACTCGTTGAGTTCCAAGGACAACCCGCCGAGTCGATATTGTCCAAGTCTTATATCTCGATTTCTGATGTACAACTCTCATCCAAAAGGTAGATCAGGGCTTCTAAGATCGATCTAGCATGTAAAGTTATGAAATTTACGTGCATACATGGAAGTATAAGCTTAAAGAACCCAAGAATGTTGTATAAGGAAGCATGGGGCTCTCAATGGCTACAAGATCTGCCATTTTATGCCATGTAGCCCCCTATGGACCCTGGATCTAGAGTCTTAACCCCCAACCATGCTTGCACTCATGGTAGGTTACCAAAAATGGCTCCTAAGAGCCCTAATTCTCTCCAAAAAGGGATATAGAACATGAATGAACAAGGTATAAGCTTTATAACTCTCACAAGCTGGAAATATGCTCAAAACTTTGGATCTTCTTGTTCCCCTTTGGTCTTACAAGCCTCCTTCTTCTTCTTCAAGCTTCAAATGCATAAAATAACACCACAAAGCTCAAGAACACACTAAAAACGGCTAGGGTTTCGATATGAGGTTTTCTAGGAGCATAAGGGACGATGGAGGCTACAATAGGATGTTTAAATAGGGTGCAAACCCTCGGATTTAGGGTTTCATACAAATAACACCTACTCGCCAAGTCAGTCTACCGACTTGTCGAGTAGGTCACTTAAAATGTACGCGAGTCCCGACTCTACTCGACAAGTTGGGCCTTCAACTCGTCGAGTCCCATAGAAAAACATAAAAAATACTTTAATTAAGTGTGTACCAGGAATCGGATGCTACATATAAATACATGATTTCATTTAACTATATTAATAAATATGAATTTGACAAATAATGTATTGATTTTAGCTAATAACAATAATAATAATAATAATAATAATAATAATAATAATAATAACAATAATAATAATAATAATAATTGTGAGGATAAATATATTAAAAGCTTCAACATGTAATATATATATATATATATATATATATATATATATATATATAGGAGTAGGATCAGATGAGAACACCTAAAAGGATGAGAACGCGAGAATAGATCTGGGCCATTTAAATATTTAGATCTAAGGTTATTATTAAACGGGCGATTTTTGGAAAATTCAAAACCACGGGCGTTAAAGTATAACTTTTAAATTGCCAAAAGGGCATAATACGAACTGCAAATTTACCTATTTCCTACAATTTCTCACCCTCTCTCCTCTTTCCTTTCATAATCCCATATCTTTATCTACCTTGCTCTCTCTCTCTCTCTCTCTCTCTCTCTCTCTCTCTAGGGTTTCAAACTAAACGCCTCTCTCAATGAATTTGGTTCTCTTTTCTTCCCTCTCTTCCCATCGATCAATCCATTGTCGTCTTACCCCAACTTCAGGTTTGAATCCACGTATCAAATCAGCGACATTGGATTCTAGTTCCACGACAATCATCGACGATCCGGCATCGCCTTCCGCTTCAGAAGAAGAAAGTCCAGCGAAGATTGGCACTAGGGTTAGGGTAAAGGTGTCGTTGATGTCCCTCTTCATATTCAGGTATCTCGTTCTATTGATCCAATTATGTAAAGTTATTGCTCGTCATAGGCCAAATTATCATCTTAAATTTTCTCATAATTGATGCGTCTATGAAGAATGTGATATAATCGGAATCTTTGACTTAGTTTGAGCTAATATTTAAGTTGTGTTTTGCTTAATGGATGTTTATTAGGTCTTGGCAGTTCACGTTCATACTCTTACATTTTTCTTTTTTTAGCTAATTAAAAACCATATTGAATTTGTAGATGTTCTGAGAATCTATGAGGTTTGAAGCATTCTTGATCTATTGCTCTATGATACTTTGTTTACTGTGGTTTCCAATTTAGCACTAGAATTTTGATCTTCTATCTGCTTCTTTGCTCCTCTCCCCTAATGCATTAATCTTAGTTTGCTATTAATAACATCTTAGAGAAATGATTCATAATTTCGTATGATTACATTTTCATCCTTCTTTTTGTTCTAACTCTTGTTCATATATATTATGAATGTGAATATTTTAATTTGTCAATATAAATTTAGTTGTAATCTTATATGAATACAATGTCAAATGTCTTATTTTGCAGTTAATCATCAATGAATAGAAGTATATTATAACTGCATGATTTTATACATTAATGATTTATGTTTTGAACAGGTGTAATTTAATGCTTGATGTTTCGAATAAGGATAACCGTAAAGCATCGAACAAAACTGTTGTTCTTATACTGGGAAAGTTACATTCAAAGTTGAACTTGGTAATGGTACTTCATTATAAATATTGTTGTCCATATGATTAGAAGACACTGATAATAATCATTTATGATTATAATTATTTGCAACATAAACGATTAGATAACTAGTTATAATTATTTATGATTATAATCATATGCTACAAATCCTTCATTTTAATATTTTTTTTTTATCATTTTATAGTATTTACATAGTATTGTCAATCTTATAGATATTGATCAAAGAAAAATGAATGTTGGAATTTTTTTAGGTATCACTACTTCTCGTTACACAAGCTCGCGAGTTATTTGATTCAAATAGAAGAATGAGGTTGCGACCGACTCAAGAAAATTGTTGCGACAGTGAAGAATTTTATAACTTTTTGTCTATTGAAGTGGTGTAATCAATATTGAATATAATTATGTATAAATGTTATAAATTAGCGTTGACATATTCATATATGAATATAAATATAAAATTGTATAAACTCAATCTTTGGAAGATTTATTTATCAATATAATAGTGTTTGAAAATGAATTATTAGTGTATTGATTTTTTTTATTTGTCAGTATATTCATGCATGATTAGTAGTTATTTTTTTATTCATTTAAAAATAAAAAAATTATCTTTAAATTTTGTTGTATTCATTTACGATTACAGCCGTATATTTTTATAACTACAAATGTGTTTTATTCATACATATTTGAAAATATTATGATGAACTATAAATTTAAAAAAAAAAAATCGATTTTTTTATTTTACAAAAAAATGAATACAAATTATTTTTATCAACCATTAATAAAAAATCGGTTAATTTTTTATAGGTAAATGTAATCAGTATCGCTAAATTTTAGGAAATTAAGATTTCAATTTAAGTTGTTTTAAATTAAATTAAATTAAATGAACAATTACTAATACACCCTTGCAAAATAATTGGTCCAGAAGTGTTTTGGTATTCTCAACATTTTTGGTGTTATCTTTACCCTATATATATATATATATAACACCAAAAATATTGAGAATGCGAGAACACTTCTGGACTCACGAACCACACTAAAAATGCGATGTGTGGTATATTTCTTTTTTTCAAAAAAGAGAGATAAAACATCAAATTGGTCATATAGAAGCACTTTCACAATACATACATATATATATATATATATATATATATATATATATATATATATTACAAATGTGCATATCGGTAGGCGCAAATGTGTATTTTTTTTTTACAAACTTTGTGAATTTCTTACGTTTGTGCACATATGCTAGGGGTGAACATGGTTCGGTTCGGTGCAGTTTTTGTATAAAACCGCAACCGCAACCGCAAATTGCGGTTTTGATTCTGTTCGGTTTTGCGGTTATTTTTGCGGTTTTTCGGTTATTTCAGTGCGGTTTCGGTTTTTAACCACAAAATGAGGTAGTGCGTTTTTCCGGTTAAAAGGGTGTGGTTTTTCATGTTCAAAACTAAAAATCTAGTCGACTTTCGTTTATTTCCAGATTTTCATTGCAAATAAATCACAATTTTTGTCCATTTTTATTCTTTCAAGTTAGCATTTTATTATGTTATATTTAATTCAATTCATTCATATAATTAACAATATGTCTAACATTTACTAACAACCATTTACGCACTGAAAACTAAACAATAAAAATCATAAGATGATAAAATTGATAAATTTAAACATTGTCTAACTTCGACATACTAATTTATTTTTATCAAATAAATATAATTATTATAAATATTTCAATAATATATTAAATTATGCGGTTTGCGGTTATTTCGGTTAATTTGGTGCGGTTATAAAACATAAAACCGAATCGCACCGCAATTTTTCGGTTTTTCAAAGTTAAAAAACCGCACTATCGGTTTTTGTTTCGGTTTCGGTTATTCGGATTCTGTTTTTGCGGTTATTTCGGTTTTTTTGGGTTTCGGTTCGGTTTCTGCTCACCCCTAACATATGCACCTAAAGTATATGCATATATTTTTGAGATTTTTTTGCGAATATGCTTTTATATGATTGATATGGTACTTTGTGTCATTTTTTCTGAAAAGAAAAATCAAATAAAAAAGTTCGCATTTTAAGAGTAGTTCACGGAAATATAGGATAAAAAACATCTTGAATATATATATATATATATATATATATATATATATATATATATATATATATATATATATAAAAGATAGTCGTGAGGATTTAAATATTCTTAAATATCATGAACGAGCCAGAAAAAAATGTATGTGTATATATATATATATATATATATATATATATATATATATATATATATATATATATATATATATATATATAGAGAGAGAGAGAGAGAGAGAGGAGGCTTCAATTGAGAAAAAAAATATTGAGAATGGGGGAATAATTTTTAGTCACTCATTTATTTTTATCACAAAAGTTTCCGTCGTACCAGCGGAAATGGAAAAAGAAAAGATATGTGTTTTCCAACAAAACATGTTTCCTTAAACTATGCTAACCATTACCTTAATATATACAAAAACATAGTTTTTTCGTTTGTTTTTTTTTAGTTTTAATAAACTATTTTTATCGAAAATTTATTTTAAATATACCAAAATTCATGATTTTATATTCTCTACAAATAGACATCCATATTGATATAGTTTTAAGATAAAATAATTTTTTTTTTATATTTTCAGTTATCGTTATTCATAAGTGAATAAAAATGAATCAGATTTTTACTACAGTACATTCATTATTTAATTATGAATAAAAACTATGATTAATTTTTTTTTTTACAATTTAAGTATCATTCTAATATGAATATAGCATATAATAAACATATTATATTCATATTTAAATATTAGATGCATTCATTGGTGAATATTACATAGTTTATTCACTTGTGAATATTAGATGATATATTTACTTATGAATATTATATAATATTTCATATCTAAATATTATGTAGTTTACATGGTATATCACAGGTCAATATTACATAGTATATTCACATGTGAATATTAGATTATATATTTACTTATGAATATTACACAATATATTCACATCATATATTTACTTATGAATATTAGATAATATTTTCACATCTGAATATTACGTAGTATTACATGGTATATCACATGTGAATATTACATAGTATATTCACTTGTCAATATTATATGATATATTCACTTATGAATATTACACAGTATATTCACATATGAATATTACAAGGTATTTTCACAAAGATATATAATATTTATATTTTATTCACATATGAATAACATACAGACTTGCATATTTTTTTTTTTTGTTTTCATAATCATCTACTGATTCTGGTGATAAAACATATTCATATATGAATATAACGTGGTAATTTAGTTTATGCATTTCATCAAACAGTTGTAGTGCATACAATTTAACTTTTTTTTAAAAGGTTAAAAACATGATACTTTGACTATTTAAAATCTTACAAAATAGTAGATTGATAGAGAATTATATGAAATTTTTCAAAAAAAAAAAAAACGATTTGATCTTTTTCTAACCTCAATTTTGAAATTTTATTTGATAATCGATGTTGAATGAATGATATGAAGTAGATTTTTTATTGATTATCGATGATGTTGATCTAATGACGCTGGGAGTATAATTAATCGTAGATGTTGAAGATCTGATCGTATTCAAGCAGAATTGAAGGTTGGATTAAAAGAACAAAAAAATGATTTTTTGTTGTTAACTGTTCAAATCGTGTTGATAAACATATTATTGACGAAGATCGATAATTGATTAGCACTAGATGATGTAGATGATGGTTTAATTGAATAAATTCGGATCATTGTTGAAGGTTGGATAAGAAATTTAGATAATGAACGATGAATGGGTTTGAACTGTAATCAAATTTACAGATACGTATTTGAGATTGAAGGTTGTTATCATATTTACAAGTTTGTCGTCGTGTCTTTTTATGCTTAGATTAAATTAGTGGTTGAGAATGATTCCTCCATTCTCAACCTTTTTTATTTTCTCAATTGAACTCATATATATATATATATATATATATATATATATATATATATATATATATATATATATATATATATATATATATATATATATATATGGGAAAAATGAATATACCCTTAAGGGTATCTTCAACTTCAATTCTTAACTTTATTTACTTTCAATATTTTCAAATTTTCATTATTATCTTCATCTTATATCACATCGTTTTGACGAACATCAATTAATCTATATATATTATAGTTGAAAATGAAAATTATATGAGAAAATAAATATGAAATTTATAAAAATCTTTGAATGAAATCAACTTATAAGTTGAATTATAAGAATATTAGACAATTACAATGTATATATATGATACAAAACGACGTAGTATGATGAGTTTGGGTATCTAAACTTATATACCCTTAAGGGTATATTCACTTTTTCCATATATATATATATATATATATATATATATATATATATATATATATATATATATATATATATATTGAAAATGTTAACATAGAATTTCTTAGTTTTTTTGGTTTTTCTATTTAATTTTATTTAAAGACTTAACCGTTAAAATTTTAAAATAATGAGACAACTTTTCAAAGAAAATTATCAAAGTTTCTTTATAATTTTGATTATTTCGAACAAAGTAGAATCCAAAACCGTTAATTTTAAATCATATAGTTCGACATTATTAAATTAATTACAAATAATGCATGAGTGCGATTCTTATATCCCAATATTTTTCTTTAATCGTTTTTTTTTTTTAATAATATCGTTGTTTCTTTTAATAAATATCGCTGATATATGTGTCAAAAACAAATAAATATATGATTACACATTATCCAAAATCAGAGAGACAAAGATATCTTGAAATCTAATTCAATCCAATGTAAACGCTTCAAACCCACTTGATTATTTCTTTCTTTCTTCCTCCCTCTTAACTTCAATTCTAAGTATGATTTACTTTATCTATTATTAGTTTTTAATTAATCATAATATTTAATAAAAATATATTATATTTTAAATTATAAATTGACTATAGAGAATGTAAGATATTTTCATCATTATAGCAATGTATAATTGAAAATGAACACATTTAGCTATATATTTTTTTTCCTCTTATTCAAAAATTTCATCACGATAAAATAGTAGAATTCATTTTCAATCTACTCTAATAAATAAAGATTTTTTTTGTTACTTGTAACACTCATATTTAATTTGTTAAATGTAATTTTATAGAAAAATTTTTATTTTTTTAAATTTAACATAATATTTTAATGTAATAGTTATAATAAATGTAGTAACAAATCGATATCAATGTCATTAATGCATTTACCTTTTAATTTCAAAATTCTCAAAATTAAAGTTTGTTACTTTTTTTGTTTATTTATTTAAATTTAAAACATAAAAT